CCCCCCCCCCCCCCCCATAACTTTTCTAATGGTCCGTCCCTAATCCCATACTAATTACAATGTTAGCTAATTACTAATTACAATGTTTTAAGCTTAACTAAGAAGTATTTACAAAATTATCTAAAAGCTGGCTCGTTAAGGAACGTTTAAAAATTTCAACAGATGGGCTTAACTTAAGAAAAGATTCCAAATTGTTGCAAAGTTTAACAGTCCTGTAATAAAAGGTCCTCTGTCTGGAGGCAGTTCTGAAAAGAGGGATGTTTAGCTTTTGGCTATTCCGAGTTGTTCGTTCGCTAAGTTGCTCACGGGTGATAAATTGGGATGTAAGATATTCAGGGGCTTGACCGGTCATGCATTTGAAGGCCATAATAGCTTGGCGATAGTACAGTTGGTCCTTAGATAATAATTTTCTGGGACCAGGAAACTCTTCTGTTGTCTACTCACTGTCTACTGGCATAAGTGTTCGTGTATCGACTTTCGATTTTTGATTTCACTTTTTCACTTTGAAGATCGACTTTAAATATCGACTTTTGATTTTGCGTTTTGACTTTTGGTGGCCACTGTCGGCTGCTGAAGTTGTCCGAAGTTGACAGGTGGTGAGCGAAGCGAAAAATGCCGTGAGCGTTATTTGCCGTTAAAAAATTGAAATTGCCGTGAGTAAAATTGAAATTGCCGTGACACTTTTGGGCAAATGTACCTATCTGACTCGAACATAAACTACCTATCATCTCGCCACCGAGTAATATTTTTCTCGCCAAGTTGTTATAGAAAGTGAACCCTTTCAATTTTTTTAACGTAGTCAATAAATCAGTAAAATGTTAATCTTAAGTGAAAAATAATCGGTAAGTTACAGAACTTAATGCCGGTTAAAAATAGCGGTAGAAATAGTGTAAACTACTTGTGCAAATTCGATTTCTACATCTACATTTATTAAGTTGATAAAATCTTGTAAGACATCGCATTCAAATTCAAAGATCTGTGACAAATTGTATGGTTATTTTCTACTCAACAGTCAAAATCTGTCTTTTTTTGAAGAGAGCGTCTATGGGAAACGGCCCACCTACTCCTCCACTAAGCCAACATGTTGGTTTTGGGGAGGGGTAGGTGGGCAGTTTCCCAGACGTCTAAATTGATCTAAGCAGCTTTAACGTATGATGTATAATTCTTTTTTTTTAGCGTAAGTTTATCTTTCTGATCTTACAGTCCTTTTGCTTGCATTTTAAGTACAAAACAAAACTTAAGTGCTCATTTTTTAGGACGACACATATCAAACACACTTCTTCCGCCAACCCTTCTTTACTCACGTAAAGTTATTTACAAGATTTGTTTGTGGAAGTAAATTTACATGTACATTACAAAGTGACCAATAAAATATTGTTTTTAGAAGCAATTCTTTGCTATGGTACTGTTCTTAATCTTGTTAATCTTGTTCGAAATGAAGTTTTGGCTCGTTATTTCAATATTTTTTTCATTATATGGAGTTTCTTTTTTTCTTCTACCCAGGTCACCTGTTACGCGTTTTATTTTTCTTCTTTTTTTAAGGGAGAAAAAGGAGACTGTCATCTTAGTCAAGGGTTTTAGAATCAAGAAAAACTATATTCTTTCAAAAAATAATGCATGTAAGCCCTGGGTTTTAATGCGCCTTGTCAAGATTAGAAAGTAACCATAGAGGTTTACGTTGGTGGGTCAATTGCTGTTATAATATTTGGGTAGGTTTTTTACATTTAAGGAAAAATTTCCAATTGAAACACATCAAATAAAATTTTCAATCACTCGAATTTTCCTGAATAAATAATAGTAATCTGTTTAAAAGGCGTCCTGGAGGCGTCGAAAGATCTGCTTTTTGAAATAAAAATAATTACTTTGAAGCAATTCTGTTATTGTAGACTCGCTAGACCACGAACAGTCATTTATGATGGCAGCAAATGCTGTCACCATCTATTTAAAAAAAACTTTGAAATTCCCAGAATTGAAAACTGAATTTTTAATGTAAAAACTAGAGGAAGATCCAAACTGCCCTGACCGAAAAGTGTAAACAATTTTACCTGTTGTCAGTTTAGATA